TCCCTTGTCAACCAAGGTATTTCTGCATTGGGCCTGTGTCAAAACCCAATAGTTGCTGAGTGTCCCAGCTCTAGTTCTCTGTATGTTGGCAATTACAGTGATGAGGAACCTTCAGGCTAAATAGGTCAACTTTGGATGCAGTCACTCATTTCCAGACTACACCCTCAAAGGGTCCTTTATCATTTGTGACACAGAATAAGTGACAATCCAATTGCCCTCTCACAGTTTCAGCCTTCCGAGAGACTTGGGTCATTTATTCTGACATTCGTGTACATGCTCTAAGGCTACCAACCTCAACCTCCATGGGGTTAGAAATTTTGATTGTGATGGTGGCTTGAGTATCAGTGCTATGTAGACAATAGATAGAAGATGGCCCTCTGTGAGAGCTCTGACACTTGTAAGAACCTCTTTCTATAAGTATTGGTCTTTCTAACAACCACCTCCAATCCTGGGACTTAGACAACTAAGCAGAAAATGACTCAGAGTCATTTGGTGAATGACCCCAGTACTCAGAGATAATAGGCCTACTTTGCTATGTGGGAGAAACTGCCTTTGCCATGTGTGAGCTGAGCTATAGAGTTTCATGATACAGACTTAGGATCTGGATTAATATGTCCATTTTCTCTACTGGACCTCACTAAACCACTGCCTGACTTGCAACAAAGACTGCTGTGTCCCTCCTGGTGTACTTATAGCCACTGCTGGGCCTGGACCAGTGCCCTCCAAGGCAATGATGCTCAAGGATGTCCTACAAATAGGAGAGAATAAGGCTCCCTACTTAAATTCATTGTGAAGAACCCACAAAGAGTTCTCAGGATTTGTGTGTAAAGAAATCTCACACATGAGACACAAATGGCATGAATGGATCAGAACATGGACCAATCTTAACAAAGTGTTCGGTGGTGATTAAAATGAAGTATGGATCCTCAAATTCAAATGATGAGTCACAGAATTATTTAGGAGAGGGAAGATTATGGGTTAAAGGTGAGTTGGAAAGAGAACACTTATCTTGGCTTGTGATACTTTGCTTTGCAGTGTTATGACCCATATCAAGGAATTTTCTGAAATGCAAGTTACTGTGTTCTTCCTTCCTTCCTTCCTTCCTTCTTTCTTTGATTCCTTCCTTTCTTTTTTCTTTCTTCCTTCTTTTTTTCTTTTCATGTATATGGTTATTTTTACTGCATGTATATCTGTGAACCACAGGTATACCTGGTCCACATCAGCCAGAATAGGGCATTGGATACCCTGAAATTGGAATTACAGATTGGTTATGAGATATCATCAGTACTGAAACCAGAAATTTGGTCTGCTAGAAGACTTATTAACTACTGAGTCATCTCTAAAGAACTGACAAAAAAATGTTTTCAGAGGCAGATCTGACTGGTAGAATGTAGTGAGGAAGAACTTGCTGTAACTATGGCTGGACAGGACAGCTGTTGTTCAGATCTGGATTTGAAATTTAGGACTCTAATGTTCTCCATATGTGTCCATTGTTCTTAACACACAAGATCTAAGCCCAATCCCCCAAATTATTGCTTCTCTAAAGAGTGGTATAATGAGGTATAATGACAAGCAGATCCGAAAGTTGCTTGAAATCAGTGATTCCCTGAGCAGAGAGATCTGTGTGTTAGTTGAAGGATCTTTTGGAGGCACTTTCCTTTGCCTTTATAGAATAGTGATAGCAGAATGTCAGAAAACATACGATTTGCTGTCCTGTAACTGGGCTATGGAATCCTGAAACTTGGCAGAAATTGTCCAGAGATGGGTAGTTTAGTTCTAGAGTCAATATTAACTCTCCACTTGTTTAACTTCACAGAGCAGACATCTCAAGCTGCCAAGGGCCAAGTACCTCTGAAAAACACCTTCTCCTGCTGCACATATACTTGAGAAGGCCTTGAGAGTAAAGACACTGGATATGAGTTTGTACACAGAGAGCTTGTCTGTATACATTGCTTCTTTGTCTCTTTGTTAATAAATGTTACCATGATGCTAACATTGTCTCACATATAAACATGACTCTGACACTGGGACAGAACAGATCTTCAGATCAGCAACATCTGTTACTACTTGCCTACAGAGAAGAATTTGCTAGACTTAATCTCTGAGGACACGGAGCCATCAGGAGGACCTATATCATATGTCCCTCCCTTAGGGCTGCCTGACTTCCCTGTAAAGTCTCATAAGCCCATCAGAACAATTTCCTAAGGACCTGAATACTGGAGCAGCTGGGTTTTCCATGCTGATACTCAGGGGAAAAAAGATGCCAAGTTAATTAGTGGAAGCCTAGGGACTGGATAGAGTACCCTGCAGCTAGAGTTAGGTAATCTTGCCAAATCTCTTCACTTAGGTGCTGGGAACTGAAGTCAGGTCTTTGGAAGAGCAGTTTGTGGCATTAAACACTGGACCATCTCTCCAGCCATCCCTTTCTCATTCTCTTCCTTTTTCCTTTTGAAGTTCTAGTCAACCCCTGAATTCACATTCTACATACCTAAATGCATTGCAACTAGGGCATTGGGAAGACAGAATGCTCCTGTTGTTGTAGGATGCTCCAGTGCCTGGGAAAGGCTCACACACATGTGGATAAATGAATGAATTGGTGTTTGAATGATGATACAATTGCATGGATTTGAAGGAATCTCATGTTGGTAGATGAGAAAATAGGCAAATGCCACAGTTTGACTATTAATTACAGGTTCTTATGAATTTTAGGTATCTGCATGAGAAAGAATATGTGTGTTTCCTCACACATACATCAGTGTATTGTGAGAAAATGCTATTGGACATATATGGAGCTTAGATGACATGAGAGAGCTGGTTCTCTACTTCTACCAAATTGTGTCTGTGGATTTAAACCAGCATGACAGCCTTGGCAGAAAGTGTGTTTACCCAATGAGCTATTTTAGTAGTCTACCCTTCTCTGATTATCATTTAGAGGGTGACCTTGCCATAGTTGAGAATATCAGTCTTCAGAAAAAAAATGCCAATGATAAAAAAACTTTAAGAAGAAAACAATCTGGAACTTCCTCCTCTTGCTATTTCCAGTTCACCAAGGGTTTCCTGCTGCTGAAATTCTGTCCTCTCTTCCATCTCCCTTTTGGTTATAAGAGCAAACACCTAGTTCCCTCTCCAACTTCTGTCTTAGAAGATTCTAGCCATACTCCAAGTTCACAACCACTGTCTAGTCATTGTCTCTGCAACTTTGTGTTAGGATACAGGTTTGCAGCTTCAGCCCAGGTTCACAGAGCCTTAGGCAGGTCACATGTCCCGCAGCTCATTGTAGGACAGAGAATGTAGGAGCTGTCTGTGTGTGACCTGACTACTCTTAGATTACAGCACCCGAGTCCTCCATGATCCTTCTCACATACACTCCACTGAATTAAACATGTGGTATGAAACTTACCTCTGCCCTATAAGGTTATAGATGATATGAACCTTCCCTTGTGCCAGAAATCTGGAGACGACTGTTAAATGTTGACACCCAGAAATGGGGAGTGCTCTCTCAAAAGAAGCTTCTTGGTTTCCCTCCATGATCAGTCTCATGGCAACTATTTCTTGTTCTCTCACTCTCTATCTCTCTCTTATTTTCACTCCTTTTAAAAGCTCTTAAGTTTTTTTTTTCCGAATTTTCTACATGCTTATTGTATTTACACCATTTTCTTTTATATTCATTTCGCATACTAAAAACAATCCCCCTCTTTCCCTTCACCTAGTTTCCCTATTTCCCCAACCAACCCCATCCACTCTTCAGAAAGGGTAAGGCTTCCCATGGGAAGTCATCAAGGTCTGGCATATTTAGTTGAGGCAAGACCAAACCCCTCCTTCCACATCAAGCCTGAGCAAAGAATCATAACAAACTATGAAATGTCTCTCTATACTTAGCTCATTCACAGTCAAAAATTTCAAAAAAACTCACAATAATGTACATAATCCATGGCTTTTTTACTCTATTACTTTTTAATATTAATTTTATTGTTTTTATTCCTTTTATCTATGACTGTCTGTACTCTTTCTTCTCTCTCTTTCCTAAGGCCATGTACTTTTATTCAACACTGTGACCCATTTAGAAATCTTTTTTCATCTGAATCTGTCTATAATGCTTTTTTGATCAGAAGTGCTTTTTAAAGTGCTAAGCAGCATAGCTTGGACTAACACTGCAGCTTTGCCTTTGGGCTCCTCCCAGTCCAACATGGCAGAAGTACCACCAGTTCTGTGAGCCATGCTCTTCTTCCCAGCTCCAGGGATACAGTGGGTCTATGTCACGACTAAGCAACTTGTAGCACTTTGCTCACAAACCCCATTTAAGTGCTCTGTAACAGGACCTCCTTAAAGAGCCAGAGCCATTCATGCCACCAATATGGACCAGGAAGCAAGCTCTTAAAGACTGTCCTGTGATACCTCATAAGCCCATCAGAACAGTTGGTTAACAGCCTGAGCAACGTTGCTTGAAATCAGTGACTCCCTAAATAGAGAGGGCCCTGTGTTTGATGAGGGATCTTTAGGAAGGAACAAATCAGTGCCTGTCCTTTGCCTTTCTGAAGAAATAATGGCAGCATACCAGAAAACACATAATTCTTTGTACAATAGGTGGGCTTTGAAGTCCTGAGATTTGGCAAATATTATCCAGAGGTGAGTAGTTTAGATCTACAGTAAAATCGAACTCTCCATTTGCTTTCACTTCATAGAACAGACATCTCCTCAAGGTGCCAATTGCCAAGGCTAAGATTGACTTCTCTGCAAAACAGCCACTCATGCTCCACATACATCTGAGAAGGCCTCCAGGGTAAAGACATTGGATACGTGCTTGTACACAGACAGATTGTCTGTCATCACCCATGGCCTGTGGGACAGGTGTATACACTTTGTTTTCTTGTCTCCTTTCCAGTGATAACACACATTGTTAATGAATGTTACCATGGTGATAAGGTAGCTTCAAGTATGAATAAGGCCCTGACACTGAGACAGGACATCTGTCTAGATCAACACCGTCTGTTACTACTTACCTGCAGGAGAGAATTTGCTAGACTTAATACTTGAGGACATAGAGTCATCAGGAGAACCCATGGTCTCTGTCCCTCCCCTTAGGGATCATGACTGTCCTGTGATACCTCATAAGCCCATCAGAACAGTTGGTTAACAGCCTGTGCCACGTTGCACCAGGGTTCTCCATGTAGAGTTTCAGAAGGAGATGCCCTGGTGATTAGTGGATGCCCACGAACTGTAGAGAATCACCCAAAGCTGGTATTAGATGAGGTTTTGAATTCTCTTCATATAGGTGCTAGGAACTGAACTCGAGTACTCTGGAAGAAAAGCATGCACTATTAAACATTGGGACATTTCTCCAACTCTCATTTCTCATTTTCTTCCATGTTCCCTTTTTGGTTTGAGTCAACCTCTTAATTCATTTTTTAGATGACTGTCTGCCATCTGGTCCATTGCAAGTAGGGCTTTGGGAGGACAGAATTGCCCCCACTGTTTTGGAATGTTTTAGCACCTGTAAAAGGCTCAAACGTCTGTGTATGAATAAATGAAGATATTATGGCACTAATTACAGGAATCTCATGTTAGTAGATAACAAAATGGGCTAATTCAATAGTTTGACTTTTAATCTACAGTTACTTATGCATTTTATATATGTGGGAAGAGGTGAAGAGAGAGACAGAAAGAATATGTGTGTGTTTACTCATGCATACATCAATGTATGGGTAATAAAATTATTCTGTGTATATATGGAGGTTAGAAAATTTGAGGGAGTTCAGTCCAGTACTCTGATGTGGGTTATAACCTCTGTTCCCGTCTGTTATTGGACGAAGGTTCTATGGTAATATTTAAGATAATCATCAGGATCTGGCTATTACAAATAATACTGCTATGAACATAGTTGAACAAATGCTTTTGTCATATGATAGGGCATCTCTTGGGTATATTCCCAAGAGTGGTATGGCTGGGTCCAGGGGTAGGTTGATCCCAAATTTCCTGAGAAACCGAAACACTGATTTCCAAAGTGGTCGCACAAGATTGCATTCCCACCAGTAATGGATGAGTGTACCCCTTCCTCCACATTCTCTCCAGCAAAGGCTATCATTGGTGTTTTTGATTTTAGCCATTCTGACAGGTGTAAGATGATATCTCAAAGTTGTTTTGATTTGCATTTCCATGATTGCTAAGGAGGTTGAGCATGACCATAGCCAGATCCTGGAAACAACCTAGATGTCCTTCAATGGAAGAATGGATGAAGAAAGTGTGGAATATATACACATTAGAGTACTACGCTGCGGTAAAAAGCAATGACTTCTCGAATTTTGCATGCAAATGGTTGGAAATAGAAAACACTATTCTGAGTGAGGTAACCCAGACCCAAAAAGATGAATATGGGATGTACTCACTCATAATTGGTTTCTAGCCATAAATAAGGGTCACGGAGTCTACAATTGGTGAACCTAAAAAAGCTAAACAAGAAGGTGAACCCAAGGAAAAACATATAGTTATCCTCTTGCCTATGGGAAGTAGACAAAATTGCCAGGGAGAAAAGTGGGATCTTGGGGGTGGGGTGGGTTGGGGGTAAGGGAAGATGGGGAGAGAAAAGTGAGAAGGGGAGAATGGGGGGAACTTGGGGAAACAGGATGATTGGAATAAAGGAAGGCTGGATAGGGGAGCACGGAAGCACAATTCTTAGTTAAGGGAGCCGCCTTAGGGCTGGCAAGAGACTTGGCCCTAGAGTGGCTCCCAGAAGCCCAAGGCGATGTCCCCAGTTAGTTCCGTGGGCAGCTGAGGATAGGGAACCTGAAACGACCCTATCCTAGAGCAATACTGACGAATATCTTGCATATCACCATAGAACCTTCATCTGGTGATGGATGGAGATAGAGACAGAGACCCACACTGGAGTACTGGACTGAGCTCCCAAGGTCCCAATGAGGAGCGGAAGGAGGGAGAAGATGAGCAAGGAAGTCAGGACCACGAGGGATTCACCCACCCACTGAGACAGTGGGGCTGATCTATTGGGAGCTCACCAAGGCCAGCTGGATTATGACTGAAAAAGCATGGGATAAAACCGGACTCTCTGAACATGGTGAACAATGAGGGCTGATGAGAAGCCAAGGACAATGGCACGGGGTTTTGATCCTACTTCATGTTCTTGCTTTGTGGGAGCCTAACCAGTTTGGATGTTCACCTTCCTAGACATGGACGGAGTGGGGAGGACCTTGGACTTTCCACAGGGCAGGGAACCCAGACTGCTCTTTGGACTGGAGAGGAAGGGGGAGGGGAGTGGGGGGAGTGGGAGAAGGGTGGGAAGAGGGGGAAACTTTTTTTTTCCTTTTCTCAATAAAAAAAAGAGTAATAAAAAAGATAATCCTCAGTCTGACTACAGGGTAAGGTCAGTTCAAACACCCTCTCCTCTATTGCTTAGGGTCCCAGCTGGGTTCATCCCTGTAGGTTCTTGGGAATTTTTCTAGAGCCAGATTTCTTACTAAATCCATAATGGCTCCCTCAATCAAGATATCTCTTTTTTTGCTGTTATATCTGTCCTTTCTCCATCTTGACCATCCCATTCCTTCAAATTCTCTTCAACACCCCTTTTCCCCACCTCTACTGCCTGTCCCCTTGCTCCAAAATTTTTGTCTCATTCCAATTGAAGAGTGGAGGAAGTGAGAGTATGAGCAAGGAATTCAAGACCATGAGGGGGTCATCCACTGAGACAGTTTGCTTGAGCTAATGAAAGCTCACCAACTCCAACTGGACTGAGTTTGAATAAGCATGGGAAGAACCAAGCCCCTCTGAAGGGGGTTGACAGCTGTGGCAGACTGAGGGGGCCACTGATAGTGACACTGGGATGTGTCCTTACTTGCATATACTGGCTTCATGGGATCCAATTCTCTTTGGATGTAAACCTTGCTCAACCTAGATGTAGTAGGAAGGGCCTTGTACTTTCCACAGGGTGGGGTGCATGGTTAGGGTTGAAGGGATAGTGAGGAGGGTCTGTGGAGGGAGGGGGGGACTTGGATGAGGGAAGGGAGTGGGAATTTGGATTGGTATTTTTTTAAGTAACAAAAGAATTATTGAAAGAAAAGAAAATTGAGGGAATTTGTTCTCTAATTCCATGAAGTTGAAACTAGGAATTGAAGTCAGCATGTTAGCCTTGGCAGCAAGTGTCTTTACCCATAGAACCATCTTGATAGCCCATCCTGCATTGATTTTCACTTAGAGGGACAGCCTGTAATAGTTGGGAACATCAATTTTCAGTAAATAATGACCAATAATAATAAACTCTAAGAAGAAAACAATATGGTTCCTTCATCCCTTAGTCTTTCCAGTTCACCAAGGACTTCCTTCTAATAAACCTCTGTTCCACTATGTCCTCTCCTTTTGGATTGTAGGCTCTCAAGTTCCTATCTTAGAGGAGTTCAGTGATACTCCAATTTTCCCACCTACTGTCTACTGTGAAAACACAGTCTCTGAAACTTTGTCCTAACCAGTCAAAGGTCTGTGGTTTAGGCCAGGTTTCCACTGCCTTTATCAGACCACATCTCCTAAAGCATGGGATAGATTGTTGGAGTTGTCTGTTCTGTGACCTGACTACTCCCAGTTTTCTATTACTAGCTCTGGCATGCTCCTTGTCCCTTACTATACACTGAACTAATTGTATATATAAAAATGCCATTTAGCCCTATAAAATTATAGATCAATTCTTTCTCTGGTGACAGAAATTTGGAGAAGACTGCTTAATGATGCTGCCCAGAAATGGAAACTGTTTTCAAAAGATGCTCTGTAGGACTCCCTTCATGATCACTACCATTGCAGCTATTTCTTGTTCTTTGGACTCTCTCTAGCCCTTTCTTATTTTCATTCATTTTTACAGGTTTTAAAAGTGTTCTTAAAATTTATAAATATATAAATACAATATGCTGGGCTACTTAGTATTGCTCATGTGTATATGCTTATGACTGACCATTTGGGAATAGATTACCTATTATAGGATCATCTCTGTAGAATACTTATCTTCCCTCTGCACTCATTAAATACTATAGTTCATTAATTCTGGGTGGAGTCCTGCGAGAGTTCCTCATCCACACTGGCATATAAGATGGTATTGTAAGTGTTTAGGTCCTGTTTGAGCAGCTGTATAGTTGAGAATTCTTTGATGCAATTCCTTGTCAAATATAGAACACACAAACTCACAATAAACATTCTGTTTCCTCTGATTCTTTTGATCTATCCAAGTCCTCTACTCAGATGTTCCATCAGCTGCAAATGATGGGGTTTTAATACAGATAAATAAATTGTGACTGGACATCTTGTGGTGTCTGTTCTTTTATGTATTTGGACAAGTTTTGGATTTCTTTGCTAGTCTCCATCTGTGCAAATAGAGGTTTCTGGATGACTATGGGAAGTACACTTAGCTGTAGGTATAAGTATGTGGGTTTAAAATTTACCTAGAAAATACACTGGTTTAAGAAAGTGGCCATAGTATATTCTTCTCTAAGAAGTATAAACTTACTCTCCAAATGGATTTGTCTAGGGTCTAATACTGGAAATAATTTTCTTTCTGTCAAGCAGACCTCAACTTTAATTAGACAGCTACTGGTGACATCCAAGATATAAATGCAACTTTAGGATCTTTGGGGATCTCATACCATGCTGGTCATTTCTGTGGTCAACTGAGTAGGATTACTGATTGTTTCCCTTCGATTTTAGCTTACATAGAAACATCAAGTTCCACAAGGCCAGGTTCACAGTATGGAGTCTTCTGGGTCAAATCTAGCTGGACTCCTCAAAACCTTGTGTTCTATATATTCAGGATATCTTCAACAATAAAGACTTTTGCTCAAGTTCTAGGTCAACAGAAATAGCCTATATTTTGTGGGGAACCTCTTGGTCTACCACCAAACTGTATGGAGGTTTTTCATCCCTGGTAGTGAGTTCTGTAACTCTATAACTCTTGGTGGGGAGCATTCTCACCCCAAGTAGTACAACTTCATTAAAATACATATTATATTTGTATACTTTTATACTATGCAATTTTAGGTAAACATAAAACAGTCCCTATGACTTTTCCAACATCC